TTCAGAGTTTTTTTATTTAAAGTTATTAGGGTGAAGACAAGTGCAGTTTGGCCAACGCATTATGTCACACCTTTCCCCAAGAGATACAGAATAAGAATAAATTCCCAGTTGCAGTTTTGGCAAGGCCTGCATGCAACTACTGGAGCAGTCAAACAGCTTTCTGTCTCAAAGGAAATTTTCCTGTCCACCTTATGAAAGTCACCATAAAAGATGAAGATGATGATGCCATTAGCCAGCTGTGAGCAATATCCAACAGACCTTGGCGTACTATTGGCTTAGTGCCACCAGGACGTGACAAACTTAAACCAGTCTGGTATCATCTTGCTTCTCAACACAAAGCTGCCTGGTTATCAGTGACAGCTTCATCTATCTATTATCCAGCACTCTCACTATTGCAGTTGTAATAAGAACATAACCTTTCTTATGAAAAGAGGAATCAAATATTTCATCAGCCCATCTAACCCATAAGGTTGTTAAGCAGCGAACTGATTTGAGCGTCCCATCCAGTTTGAAATAAGCCAGTGTATCAGCTTCAACAAAATGGCTGGGTTCCATACCGCCAGATTCCTTTGAATGAAGAAGTGCCTCCTCTCCTAGGTTATTCCCTGTAGTCTTCACTTGTGTCCCATGGTTAATGTTACACTGTTCATTCTGAAGAAGTCCACTAGGTGGACTGTCAGTGCCTTTGATTTTGAATTCTTGGGAAAGGTCCTCTCTTTACTGTGGGGTTTACAGAGGTAGAAAAGGCAGATGACAGGATGCATTATCTTCATCCTCTGAGTGTTGGCATGAGCATTGCTGCAGTGGGGTCTGCTTTCGGCTGGGGGGAGCAGTTTCTCATTATGCCCAGTAGTCACCTGATGTACAGAAAAAGTCATTCGCTCACCCGGTCGGATCACAGATTCTACACCCAAAGAACAGAGTACAAACTCCAAACAAACTGTGCAGTTTTGTTCCAGATGAGATTTCATTTTTCATTAATGAACCCAATTTTTTCGGGATACTTTTAAAAATTAGTTTAAAAATCGATATGTGGTTGTTCTGAGGTTATTTAATCCCTTAAAGCAGATTCATCAAACTCAAAAATTGGACACAATCAAGTGTGGGCCTCTAACTGGGGTTTAGTAATTGTTGTTTGGATTGTTAAAATAAGCCACTGTTATTTCTTGTTTTTGCACTTAAAAAGCAGGAAACACTTTATGGCTTTTTCCAACCGTCCTGATATAAAAACACATTTCAATAGGGACAATGAAACCTGATGAAAATAAGTATCATCCCCTTTTTTCTGTTTTAACATCAGACTCTGGCTACACCACTGCAAGAGACAGCAGTTAAGGAAGATCCGTTCTGCCTGGTCTAGGTCCAGTCGAGGTCCTCTGGGAGTACACCTGTCCTTCTTTTTACTCTACAGATAACACTTCAGCCAAAGTGAACAGACCTGGGATTGTAAAGAGGCTGTGTGGAGGAGAGTACAGTATATTCCTGTCGATCGGCAGTTTCAGTTCACATGCCTAAGCAGACAAATCCATTTTCAGACCAGTTTGATTTGGCTTCTGCTGAAGAAAAGGTGTTTATATCTCAGATCCCATATAAGTCCAGATGTGTGGAAACCTGGACATACTGTATATTAGGCCTGGAGTGCGTAGATCTGCCACCTCTTTTTGAGGTGAGCTAGGAGGTGCAGGAGTGCATATCTGGATGTCTGAATGGTCTCTCCATGTTGTTACTCAAGCTTTCCATCATCATTCAAAGTGACGTTTCCCCTCCAGTTACCCAGAGGTCACTCTTGCAGCTGGTCTCTAATAGGGCTACAGCATGCGTACTGCTCCCAGCTTCACAGCACCAGTCAGAGATGAGGCCCAGGGGGCCTCCTGTACAGAGTCAATGGGATCCCTAGGAGCAGCTGGCTAGGTCCGCACCCAGCTGACTGGCACCCAGAAGGCCTCCCGCTCCAGCCTCTCCAGGATGGACTTGAGCTCGGCGCAGGCACTCTGCGTGTCCTCCTTGATGAGCACTCTGTCCACCAGATGGCCGTACTGCTGGTCAATCAGGATGGCTGACTGTCGCATCTCCTGCAGGTCTTCATCCTAAGGGGGTCAATACGATTGTCAAAGGGACATGGCACTAAGAACTAACCAGGCGGGCACAAGCACGGTGCTGTGTGACAGCTAGATGAGGTAAACAAGCCTCCAGATGTTTGATACACTCACTTACCAGAACAGTAGGAGCTCCCCATTCAACTAGTAGAACCTCAGGGGTTCCTCCGAGGTTTGTACAATACATATTGCACTAGTTTCGTGCTTTATCATTTGGGCACTATTGCACCCAGTACAAAACGTTGTCTAAGAAAGTGGAAGTTGGAAAGAGAAGGCAGGGAGGGAAAGAGAAGGAAGGGAGGCAGCTGCAAGAGTGTAGCTGGGGTGGAGGGAGGGGGTCTGCAGAGTTGGGGGTAACTAGCGAGTATTTATACACAGGAGAGCAGGTGTGCGAGATTAGAATTTGACCTTGTCCAGAACTTCTGTTAGTTTACATCATTAGCCAGGCATCAAGCAGATGTGAGAATTCGAGACTGGGTTCAGGTCCCTTACCGTGATCCTGCCGTGTTCCCCAGCCCCTGGGGAGGTTGCACTCCGGCGGTGGCGGCTCTCTGGGATGCGCGGCTTGACGGAGATCACGTAGGGTTTGAACTCTGGCGTGCGCAGGCTCCTCAGTGCCTGTGGGACACGAGAGTGTGTGAGAGGACCAGACAGAGAGCAAGAGAGAACAGGGAGAGCAGGAGTTAGCTTTATCAAGCGGCACCTGATTAGAAAACAATGGAATATCAGCCAGATATGTCATTTTCAGCTAAGGGGCAGCACAACTGCTACCCTGTCAAATAGTTCTGGTTTTGATCCTTGACTAGAAACAACAAATCCACCCATCTGTTTGATTACCGCATCATCCAGTTCGGGTCATGGGAGAGCCGGAGCCTATCCTGGCAAGCAAAGGGCAACAAGGCAGCATACAGTCTGGATGGGACGTCAGTCCACACACACAAAAACAGACACGCACACACTCCCACCAGGACCAATTTTCCCAGAAGCCAATAAACCAACCAGCATGCCATTGGACTGTGGGAGGAAACTGGAGCACCCAGAGGAAACCCACATGAACAAAGGGGAAACAGACAAACTCCACGAGAATAGTACCCCCAGGAATTGAACCCAGGGTTGCATGGCAGCAATGCTGACCACTGTGCCACCATGTTACCCCAAACCCACAAATCAGAAAACTACAATTCTATCTTTTCAAAACACTGCAGATATTGTGTATTGTATTTCATTTCACTCCAGGATTATGCAGATAATGAAGATGCAGATTAATTCTCCGTGCAGAAACAGATACTGAAGATGGTAAATGCCTTTGTTTATGTCAATGTTATCCCTGTGGAACATCTCAAGTCAAGACATTTGTTCTTTATTAGCATACAATACCCTAGTGAATCATTCTGTAATTCCAAACAGTTGATGATCTGAGTGGAGCATTAGTAAGAGAGATCGCTGTGAGGTGAGCATAAGAGGATGAGACAATGACACAATTATTTAAGTACCCTTGGGTAAGACGGTAAACAACAGAATACAACAAATGACCCTTACACAGTTTTGCATTCTAGACCTCAAGTTTTCTCTGCTGATCCAGCAATAAAATTAAGTAATTTGTAGTATTCCTAATCCACCCAACTCTCTACTGAAACCCTCATACTAGATAGCATAGATCAAAGATGACAACAAGTTCTCGTCTGCCAAAATGAATGCTCAAAGGCTTAGAACAGATGCAACTCTCACTGACAGTACCACAGGTGCTGTCAATCCACAAAGGTTACTGTTGTACAGCAAAGCACAGGAAATCAGGTCAATGTCTAAACCCAGTGCTGGGTCAACTCACAAACGAAAACTGGAAGCCCCAGTTACCTATGACAATGACATAGCTCAGATTCAACCTTACAACCCCTGCAATGCCTACCCTCCAGGTGGAACCCAAATCACGTTAAAGGCCCCTTCCAGGTCTGAGTTTTCAGAATAAAATGTCCCGGGGCGGTCTTCACCCTGCTGCCGATTTCTGTCTGGGAGAGGTTCCTTACCTCTGGCTGTACATCCACCAGACAAAGTTTGTTCTTCGCTTGAACAGACCGAATGGCCTCCAGGCTGGTTCCGTACTGGTTCTCCTTATACTCCCCATGCTCGATGAACCTGAACAAATACAGGAATGACAGCAAGACGCAAGCTGATCCTTGGATTTGTGGAGGGCAACAGCGAACAAGAGTCTGCTCAGGCTAGCCTGATACAGGGTTAGCACTGAAATGATGAACACTTGTCAGATGGACTCCTTCTGTGTGTATGAGTTATATCATAATAAAATGGTATGTGCTAGTACTGCATGTGTGCTCCATCTTTTCTGTCTTAAGGAAAACAAAAAGAATTTGCTTTGGTCGGAAGAAGACAATTAAGTCGCAATTCTGTTGTCTTACATTTCCTAAACTGTATTTGGAGTTTTGTTTTTTTTGAACAACAGGATGAAAAAAACATGAAAGACATGAAAGACATGAAAGCTCCTATTCCTGGTTATCCGTGTGTGACTCACAAAACCATTCGCATGTGTGGGAAAAAATCTGAGCCTCCTTTCAAAGGGAGCCATTTATCACAGAATAGTTGTTTTTCTTGAGCTGTAAAACTTGATTCATGATTGATTATGCTTTTCTCTTAATTTTTTTACATAACGTCTTTCAGTAGACAAACCATAATTGATGACAAAGGCGCTCCAGTGAGCTGCAATCTGACTGTGCAAACAACACAGGCTGTGAGCACAGGAGCTGCAGTGGTGAAGATTCTGGGTTTGAAATTCAGAATATTTTAAACCAAAACACACGACACATCAAAACCTTGCAGGACTTACCAGAGGTCTATCAATCCCTATAGTTATTACTATCATCTTAATAAATCTTATTACTTAGGGGTCCCCCATATATAGGACAGGATGTATATACGGTACGGGTGGCACTATTTGCACCAAGATAGTCATGAAATAAGGCATTGTGCCGTGACAACTGAATAACGTCTTTTACTTTACTAAAAGCACTCTGTTTTCACAATTCATTATTGGCCTGGTAATCAAAACACACGTTTTCCTTTGCTCTCCAAAGAAGCATGTAGCATGTGCTGTTACCCTCAACACAATGGAAGATGGTTGTGAAAATGTGGTCAGACATAATGTAGGGATAACAAAGCAGAGTAGCCAGGAGGAGAAACAAGGATGAATGGGATTTTTTTTCCTCCATTTGTTGTGGGAGGGAGTCTGCCAGAGGCAACAGGGTTTTAAATTCTAGTACTACAAACATGACAGGCTGAAACTGAAATAATCCCCAGGTCTCTGGAGATAATGCTGTGCAGAACCGATGGATGCTTTGCTTCTTCATGCAAGCATACCTAACGGGATTAATTGATCAAACCCACTTGTTATTCTGAGCGTCTGCTTCAAACATCTGCTTGGAGACAAAGTGATACTCCACGCCTTCTTTCTCGTGGCTTTTTTTGGGTCTTGTGGTATCTGGAAATGCAAGGCAGATGCCAGGGGCTCCTTTAGTGACTGCAGGTACTGGACAATGGGGGTCAGGGTCTCAGACAAGAGAGGAAGAGCTCAGGCAGGTTTCTTCGACACGAGCACTAGCTGAATTGCTGAGTGCATTACAGTGCAGCTTTCCCGCAACACCAGCAGGGATGGAATCAAGACTCCCCTTGCACAGCAGGCTGTTCCAAAACTCCACAACAATCTCTCCCAACCGAATGTTTTGCAGCTCTGCGCCGAGGATATGAAAATATCAGCCTTTTGATGTCAGCCCCTGTAGGATGCCCAAGGCTAAGTTAACGGACACTGCTGTGTTTGTGTTTGTTCCATTTGGTGCTTTGTGTCATGACACTTTTTATGCAGCATATTAAAGACACCTGCTGCTTTATTCACAACGCTGTACTGCGGAAGTCTTGCTTTCATCCCTTACTTCAACACAGTAAATATGGCACATGGGTCACTCAATATAGAAGGCAATTGAAATGTAGTTTAAAACTATTTAGAAATCATTGCTTACATACAGACAATAAGCACATTTACCCAATAGAACAAAAAAAAAAAGACTGGAGACAGCCGCAATCCGGAACAACACAGTACTAGAAAACATTTTCTTCCTAACACTGACAACTTAAGAGACCCTCAGCTACTGCTTCAGGGGAATTCTGGATTTGTTCATTTATTGCCAAGGCCATTTGCTAGGGGTCTATTCATATTGCTGGTGCATTAATTTTCTTCAGAAAATTGTGTTTGGAGTATAACTGGAGTGAGCTAAATCGTGTACTGCTACTGTTGTTCAGGCTATACCTAAACTATATTATATTACGTTATGTTTTCTGAAATCTTTTCTTAAAGCTTGCAAAAAGAATTTCAACCTTAAACATTTTGTCACAGTCCAGTGCAAATAGCAATGTTTGCTTCAATTGTGCACACTACAGGTAATTTCCCTGTTGTGCTAAACAGCCTGATGTTGCAGGAGGAGAGTGAAGTAAGAAGTGGATTTAAATCACTGAAACTCTCACATAGCTGAAACCATCTCAGTTTGACCAGCATTTTTACTGACCAGCAGTTTTCACATTTCTGGACACATTTCTGAAAATCAATTTTCTAACAGTTTCATCCAATTCAGCGTCATGGAGGAACTGGAGTCTAACCTGGTTAGCAACGGGCACTAGGGAGGGCAGACCCTGGATGGGACGCCACTGCCTCACAGGACACACACAGACACACACACACACACTCACCCCAGGGCCAATTCATACAGAAGCCAATTAACACACCAGCATGTCTTGGACTGTGGGAGAAAACCCATGCAAACAAGGGAGGAACATGCAAACATGCAGATACTGCAGTACCCCAGGATTCGAACCCAGGACCCCAGGGCTGCAAGGCGACCTTCTTTTGCTTTATTGCTGGCAATTCAACAGAGGTTGAAAGTGCATTCTGTTTACTGCAGTTCCACTGAGCCAGACTTTTCATAAAACAGAATCATCTCGAAACAAGCTAAACTCCCACCTCCTCCTTTCACACTGTCTCCATTTATCAAGTCAGCACGAGTGACAACGTCACCCCCTAATCTTTAATCTCTTCTCTCACATGGGTACAAAACTCTTTTGTACTTTTCAAATATCACTAAGCATCTTACTGTGATGAGCGGTTAGTCACGTTGTATACACACATGGTAAGTTTCCATTTTAAGGACATTTTTTCACACAAAGCCAAGAGGGTCTGCTGTTGAAGCAGCCGTCCCTGAGACGTGATGATCAAGCTGCCCACTGTGAATTTAATTAGAAAAGGAAACATGCTGGAAATGTTTACTAGTTGACCTGGGTAGACAATATGGACAGTAAATATTGGATATTAGCATATGCAGCATGTTGATTTTAATTAAAATGTTGATTTTAATTTTAAATGCTTTTAAATTTAAAAGTTTTACATAAACTTGATTCTCAGTTTTGCTTGGAACATATGGTATTTTTTAGCTCAAGACACAAAATGGTTCTGATATCTCAAAAACCAAGAGATTTATACACTTGTTTTAAAAATCTAGACCAGGTGTTTCAAATACAATTCAAGAAGGGTATTTTTTGCCAGCCTGATTAGTCAATTAAATGATTAAACCTAATCATTTTCTAAAAACAAATATACAGGAACGTTCACATAATCCTTTCACGTTTCCTTTCAGTAAATTACACAAGGCATTCACTTCATTATACAGAAGGGACAATTACCTGTAAAAAGTCCTGAAGGAGAAGTATTATATTTATGCAGCTAATTATATAAGTAGACCAACTATGGAACAGAGAATGTGGGTGGACCAAAACCCAGAAGACCACTTGAACCAATTGAGCTTAAGACCGCTGTTATAGAAGTTTTCAATGGATTTCTACAGGCAGACTTATTGCTACTGCTGTTATTGAAACTGAATTCATTGCGTATGTAAAAACTGTCAAAAACATATATTTCATATGGTGTATAGATAAAATCAATCGTCTAGTAACATTCATTTTAATGTGCAGCTGTTCTTTGGGAAAAGGTTTCTATACAACATTTTTGTGACTAGCTTATTGATGCAGCCTTCACAAAGAAGTATCACATCTCCAAAACTCCTCATTCAGTTTTTATTCTTATAATCTGGACATGCAGCATTTTAAACAGCAGTGGAAAGCAGATATTCTCTAAATTAAAATTGCTACTTTAAATTACAATTACCACTGTTTTCTGTAGGTATGCTTAATAAAAAAAATGATTAATTATTAAAAATGAATAACTTATTACCAGTACATCTCAGGTTTTTATTGATATTTATGAATGCGGCTTAATATTTGTTAATATTTCATGTTAGTTATGAATAGTAACGTCATTGTTATTCCTATTGCTGTGTAATAATACATGGAATGAAACATTCATGTCTCATAGAAATTGTAAGATTTGATCATCATGATTAAGGGATTATAATGTTGCATTACATAATAAACTGTTTCTAAGTAACAGTTCTATCCACACTGATACTTACAAAAGAGGGGCTTGCAGTATCTGTTTTTATTATTACCTTTCCTTGTGGTAGAAGTGTTATGAGGGCGATCAGCAGCAGTAATGAGCTGAACACAGGAGGCTCAGGTCTCCTGTGCTCATGCTTCACTGTGTTATACAACTCTCTCAGCATGTGCTTTCTCTCTGAAACAAGGCCACAGCATGACTCACGTGGAACTGCTACTCCATAGCGCTGAGGGTTCTCTGCAATGACCTTCTGCTTCAGCTCATTGATCCGAGCTCCCAAAGACCCTGCAGTATTACAGGCACAGATCAACATGTCTTCAGTAGGTGCTCAGGTATACAGTATGCGTCTTTCCATAAAGATGAGAACTGCACTTTATCTTCAGCTGCACAGACTACACCTGTAGATCCTGCCTTATACTTATAGATTACTATCCCAATTTGCTATGTTTCTACTGCACATCTTTTATTCTTTTAACTTGAAAGCTGTGGAAAAGGTATTCTGTGATAACACTATATAGGCATCCATATTCTGCATCATTAAAAAAAAACTTCTGCAGCTCTGCTCTCAAAGCTCCTTCAGAAATTAAAAGTTTAACAGCTCCATCCAGGAGGGTGAAGTCCTGAACTGCAGAGCAAAGTCACCAAGAATCTCACAAACTGTCAGCTGAACCTGCATTAACCAATCCTCTCAGGCAGTGATTGTGTGCAGTTTACAGACCAGAGACCTCTACTATTAACCTTCATGATAAACTTCTGTCATTGACCTTTTACATGTTGTTGAAAGCAACAGAATGACTTTCCCTGCAGTGAAATCCCCACACCTCTCCTGTTTCCAGTAATGATATCAGTAACGTGGAAATAACAGTGGGCCTACTGGCTTACCAATGAGCACAACAAGCCTGGGCCTCTCATTAGGCTTCTGCTGGTACCGTGTAACCTCTTCATAAGTGAGGAACTCCGGCTCGCTGGGATCGGGCAGCCTGGCCTCTGCATTTTGCCGGTCCTTGCGACTCAGACGGAAACTCCTCCGAAGGCCAGCTAGCAGAGAGACATCCAGACACAGTTTAGAAGACTTAAGCCAGCGGGGTTCTGCTACAAATACAAAGGACAAATCAAGTTCATTCACTTCTGTTATTTTAATGTAGATGTATGGACCAAAATGACGACATTTTAGTTCCAGTTAACTACTTTACAGGCCAGAGTTAGGCCACACACATTATATGTATAGTACATATGTTAGGCAAAGCCAGAGTATTGGCTTCAACATTTATGGTTGGGTATCTTTCATACATCTTCAAACTCTTTATTCAAAGGGTTGTGAACAACCTTTGTATGGCACACACACAACACAGCCATGGTCCTGAAGCTGATTCCCTGGCCTTCAAGAGACGGCTGGAGGGCTCTGCCTCCTCTCGTTTATAACCTTTCTTGTGTTTTTATGCTCTTTAACACTATTAATCTCGTGCTGTAATAACCACATGGTTTGAAAAAATCTAAGATGCTCTTTATGTCACAAATCCAATCTTAACTATGAGTACTGTGTGCTAGTGGGAGATGGGGAGAAAGAAGTGTTTCTAACAAAAAACAAATTAAACACAAAGAGACTCGTGTCATAATGGTCCACCTGATACAATCTTCAGACAAAAATCCAAAACATATTTAACTACGAGGTTAATACTGGTTTCTCTATAGATTATAAAACCAAGGGAGATAATCCCATTTCTTAATTACTTTTCTTATCAATTTAATATTTGTATCTGCTATGGTTGATCTACTGTATTTGAAGACCTCGATAACAGTTTATGTTTCATTAGTTCCACCCACATCATCAGTCAGGTCGCACTGCAAAGCTGCATTGAAATGCTGTGTTTTGGGTCTCCTTCCCTTCCATGAGCATTTAGGAGCTGGGGGGGATTTGTGTATAGAGATTATTAAAATGTAAATTTATAAAAATCAGGAATTCTTGACTTCAGTCCAGCTTTCTGCCTATTTTAAATTTTCTGTCTGTATGCCAACTGACACTGAACCACTCCTTTGTGAATCTCAGCACGTGATTAACATAAAATATGGCTGAAGTTTGACCGGCACAGTCGATCAGAAGGTCAGGTTTTGGCAAACATCAATGAGTGAAAATGCTGTCTCGCACAAATTAACACAAAAATCAAATCCATAAGGATCCTCGGATCCACATCGCGAAAGGGTAAAAAAAAAAACAAAAAACAAGCACATATGAGCATCCTTGAGAGCAAATTAGGCTGAAGGTGATTGTAAAATAAGAGCAAAACCTGTATTTCCTGGGAAACAAATTAAAATCAAGCAATGAGACAACTGGGCCTAAATAAAATGGTAACCGTACCTGTGTAAAATTCCCAGGAAAAAGCTTGTCCACAGGACGGCGCAACTGGTTTACACTTTGGAGAAACTATAACTAGTATTAGACCATTAGACCAACTTTACACCTCCAGGAAAACGTGCATTATCTGTGCAGCGCTTCCAGACTCAGAGCCTTATTCTTTCCATTCAAGTGCACAGTGTTATTTTTCCACACAGCTCACACAAGCAGGAGCAGGGCCTGTTTCATGATCTAAACAGAAGTATTTTGCCAAATAAACTGCAGTCTATGTACAGTGTAATACATATTATTATACTGTATGTTTATCTGCCTTAATTAGATAATGTCTTCCTCTCACATGATCTATCATTTGTGACTTTATTGACACAAACATTAGATTTGTGATTGATTGCTTTTTAGTGCTTACAGCTTAGCTTTATTTTTTACAGTCTTATTAGAATGTCTCACATTTTTCAAAATTATTTAGCAGCGTGAGAGCAGGAGAACTGGTGATATACAGGTATCCAAATATGCCAAATTTAAAATTGATTTCACATACAGAGTTGTTGATCAGGATGGATGGAGGTCAGCTCAGAGAGGCTCAGCCTGCACAGTAGAAATGCTGTGATGAGGACTACTGAACTCAGCTTCCTTTTTCCCAAGTCTGGGAGAAAGGTCAGCTGCCACTACTCTGAAGAGCTCTACCAATGACAGCAACAGCTGCAACTATAATAAGTGATCTCAGGGAAACTCTTGTTCAAGGTTCCCTGTCAGCAAGCCCTATTGTCCAAAATGTTTTGTCAGCTCAGATCTTGTTTAGATCATCTTAAAAGACCCATGAAGTATTGTACCAGGGAAGGAACACAGGATAGGATATGAGCAAAGGAGAGAGGGAAAAGTGCATTCTGTCCTTTATTTTTATTCGATTTAAAATCATTATTTAGGTGTCCAAATTTTAAAAAAGAGATCCATAGGGATCGGTGATATTCCAAATGAAGCTAAGCCACTTAAAATCTTAGTCACATCAATGTCTGTTGAAATATGCAGGACACAATTTGATGAGTCTAGTTTCATGTCAAATAAATTTTAGGTCAGTAAATAGTTGTTCCAAGGTCCCATTGGACTGGATGAAACTAAAGTAAACTTCAAGATTTTTATACAGGAGGACAAATGCCAAAATGAAGGTAGCACTCATTGAAGGGCATTTAGTACAGAGTTCTGTCCTGTCCACGATTCATCAGCCAATTAATTAATTTGCCAGTGCATTTTATCATCAAGCTCCTCATTCACACACAGGGAGTTAAATGATTTTTCAGATTATATTTCTTTATTTTACAGTTCTTTGAAAATGGTGATCTGTGCTAAACCTCACAATGAATTCAATTCTCTCTTATTGTAATACTTATTGGAGACCACCCCACCCCCTTTCCCACAATTCCCTTCTCCCCTTGCGCCCCGGGTTGGCCGCACTTGCTCAAGACCGCTGAGCTGCTTTTGGCAAAGAAGCTAAGAAGGCATGCGCTCACCTATGTACTGTCCATTGAAATAGCCCTCACAGTCACAGTCTTCTGTAAGGAAGCAAGCAGGGAGATAAGTGGGGTAAGCAGAGGGAGAGAGGTTCTGGAGTCACTGTGGGAAGCTGGGAGGTGGTTTCAGGGTGCTGGTGCAGGCAGGCAGGTGGGCAGGCAGGCGGGCAGAGAGGCGGCCAGGTAGCCTCAGCTTAAAAGCAGGAGGAGACCATTACAGAGATGCCAACAGGACTGCAGAATCTGTCCTGGCCTGAGGAAGGAAAACAGGCAGCACCACAGGCACAGGGCCCCCTCATCAGATAAGCTCCTTCCCTTGAAACCCGGCGATCTCACCGCCAGGATACCAAGGACCTCCTCACCGACACCAGGGATCACCAAATGTTGTGTAATCAGCTCAGCGTGCAATTGTCAGGCTTGGCAATTATTGCACTGTGATTGCGGAGCCTTCCTGCACTGTTTATATAATCAACACACGCTCAATTTTGCATTTTAATCTCTTTCTGGGTGACCCATTGCTTTTCCTTAGGATGGTCCTGGACACACATCGTGGGGGAGGGGAGGGGGATTTTAAAAACATAGCATAATTTGAACAAATACAAACACAGCAATGACAACTTGAATAGCAAGAGACTTTCAACCACAAATCAATATGATAAGGAATTGGAAACAAGTCAGTGAAGTCGATACAGAACGAACTGTGTAGAAAATACAGGCCTGGATCCTACTACAGACTACAGGCTACCTGCATCACTCCCTTTGTCAGTGACTCTGTGGTGGGCTTGCGTTACCAGAGGTCTCGAATAACTTAACTCTTCAGATCGTTTACTTCATGATACTTCATGTTTTTATTTCTTATACTCTGCTAACAGCCGATGGATATGGTGGGCTCTGTTTTTAATATTAGGCTTAACCTTCTTAGAAGTACTGTAGCTTTTAGATATTTATTATATAAAGATTGTTTTTTTACTTTGGCTGAGCATACTTACATACAATGTACCAGGGAAATACCAAGCACCAGCGGGGAGCCACACTGAGACACGCCCCTCAGACTGGAAGAGCTCCTGTCACTTTATGTCCGGTTGTGTAATTAATTTCCCTGGGTGCCCTTTCCTTTCGTTCACGGGTTTGTCTTCCGTGCAAATAGCAGTGTGAGCCTCTTGGTCGGTGCAGGTTTATAGCCTCTCGACCATTCTCATTTCCACTCCCAACATTAAACATAAGAATCAAATGATGGAGTTACGTGATTAGGTTAGGTCTTGGTACCTGTTTCACGTAGGGAATCTAAATTCTTGTTTACCTGTGTTTACCTGAGCAGGAGCTGTTGCTGAATTGTGTAAGAGTGTCCCTGAAGGAGAACTGCTGATCCTACATGCTGTATACAGGATACATATGGTCATGATCCATTCCGGCCTGATGGAACTGTGCACTTAGTAGCCACACACTTTGTTAAAAATGGGAAACAGGTTCCCGTGGGCACTGCCCGAGGACACTGAACAGTTTCACGCTGTTCTGCTCCATGGTGACGCGCTCATGCAAGCTGTCACAGACTCCGACGATGCCCCCATGAGTGGATGCGGCGCCCTGTGGTGTGTGGTGGCACTGTCCATCAGAACAGCACAGCTGCTGGAAGAGTCAGGCTAATTTTCTAAACGACGTTAGAGAAGGAAGCTGAAAAGGGAGAGGCAGAGGACAATCCTAGGCTGCAAAGCAGAAAGAAAGTGTGAAGCACACAATGCTTCAGTTGCCGAGCCTTTTCGGTGGGCTTGAAGAGCACTTAGCAACAGAAAAGCTGTGTACAGTATAGTTCTTTTTTTTGTAATTTTCAATGTGAATCAATTTCTGCTTCTTGATAAAAGCCCTGCATATTAAATGTTCTAATGAGTAATCAAGTGCTTTTCCAAGGATGTCCAGTCAGAATTGTTCCCTGCTGTTCACCAGGAACATAAAAATGATTATATAATGTAAGACTTACTGTAATGAATCAACCAGCGGGGTGTTAGTTACAATTACTGGATACACCGTTCTTAATACAAAACATTGATTTTCTCCATAAATCTTTATATCAAAGCAGAACTTTGGGTATCTTCCATACATCTTTAAATGTATCCCATACATATTTATGTTTAAATAAATTGATAGTTAAAATGAATTACAGTTATGTATTTTAAGAATGTCACTACCCACCTTTGTCACAAGCCTGATCATCTAAAGTTTGCAGTAAAGGAAGAAAAGCACACACTTGTCATTGATTAAGACATTGTACACAATTAGAAATATCCATCGTCACCTCAAGTTATTATTATAACCCTGCTTTCCTCTAAAAAGAAACAAAGGCAAATATCCTCCAGTACATGAGGAGGACAGTACAGCACAGAAATCCAGAGCAATCAACAGAAACATACACAAATAAAGGGATATACTGTACAGTGAAAACCACTGGGACAGTGAAGTACTGGGACAGTGAAGTGAAATTTGTCATTTTTGCATTGCACTAATGACATTTTTCTTCAAGAACCAAAGTTTAAAATGAGGAAGTATATAGAATTTCAATGTTTTGCATACAGTCATAAACCTTTGCACCTAATTTAGAAAGAGCATTGAGTGCACTCAAACAGGAGATGACTGCTGTTACAGTTACTGATGCCCAGCTGAGTGTACACAGATGGTTACATTGCATTCTTAATGACTCTGTTCTATATTTAAACTTTGCTGTCTGCAGGTAGGCAATGAGTATCACAAATACAACACCTGGAGTTTGTCATTTTCACCATCGACTATGGCCTACATGCAGAAGAAAAGGGGTATGTATAGAGTAACCCTGACATTGGGCTGTTTGTTTCAGCACAGACTTTAAAGATCTGCAAGGGCAGTGGTCACTGGTCTTTTCTTTTACAGTATAGATAGATAAGACTTTATTGATCCCGAAGGGAAATTGATATAGAAGGCTTTGAGTGGATGTCATGTGTTTTTTTTAGAAGGGGGTTGTTGACCTTTACCTCCATCACCAATAGTATTGCAAATGAAATGCAGAACAAGAATTATTATGTCACGCTGTAAAATATGAGGAGAAAAATGTAAAACACAAAAGCAATAATTTCCTGTTTATCTGGTATTTTTTCAAAAGCCATACAGCCATAATGTCTGCTACTGTTATATTACATGGCAGAGAATAAATTCAACTTAAGCTTTCCCCCTTTTTAAAGGCTGTCTGGGCCTGATCTGACAGAATTTCCATTGGCATCAGGCTTGGTGCTGTAGTACAAATGCATACTGCTAAACAACTGCAAGATGACATATTGCTTAGCTATGGTTTTCTCCACTGGCTTTAGCTAATCGGATGGGAATCAGATTAATGCAGGATAATGATCCTAGAATTAAACAGTCAAGTCCTTTTGCTTACTCCTCCCGACTGCTTGACAGCAGATGACACACCACTGCGGATTGAAAACACCACATTTCCTATCACAAATGTCCTTTTATACTTTCAGGTTAGACTTTTTTGGCTGGACATCTGGATCAGCAGCGAAGCCGCTTAACTGATATCACTGGAATTGTTCTGTTTTTTTCAGGTCATAATATAGGAGCAGATGAGGAGAAACGAAGAGGACACTTCACAGCAACAACAGCAATCATAATTATAATGAAAAGAAGACTTACAAAGGGGTCTTTTGGGTGATTTGGGATTCTGCAGTGTTCCCATTTTTATCCGGTAAGCTAGACGCCTAAAAAGATATATTGAAAAATAAGTACATATCCAGTGATCATCAGAAAAATAAGAAAGAAGCAGTACAATAACATTCAGCACCAAGCTGACTGGCACAATTACAGGACTGGCTGCTTTAGAAGAATATCTATGACTCCATCCAGCCAGCACTGCACCTGCTGGTCCTCCTCTGGTCCTGCTGAGGGCTGAGGCACGGCCTCATCCATTCATCCAGGGCTGAACTGGCTGCTCGGGATTTTGGGAGCCTTTGCTTGGTAGAAACCTGCCAGAATAACTGCTTCCAAGCCTTGTTCCTTTAACAGTTATTTGATCCTATGGTCAACATTAAATTCACAAATTGAAAGTGCTTCTTAGGAGTTTTAGGTTTCTCTCACCTTCTTTGAAACCTAAAAACTTTTTCCAAAACAATCTGACCTCATTTCGAACCCTTTTTTAATGTTAAAGCTGAGAATTATTGAGAATCTCTTGTAATTCCAGTGTAATTCCAGTTTAATTCCCCTTTCTTTCTACTGTGCATTTCAATTAAAGCACATCTCCTTCTGGTTGACCTTGATGTCTTACCGTTCCTGAAACTGCTTGGAGGGGACGAGTCCGGCCCGCAGATTGCTGTCCCCCACTCGCTTGGCCTGCCACCACGTGGGGTCGTCCTGGCTGACCACCTGCAGGATGTCGCCACGCATGAAGGGAAGTCCCGCCTCCTGGCAGGGCGTAGCCTTATCCTCCGAAGGGATGTAGTCGAAGAGAGCTCTCATGTACACCTGCGGCAGAAAGTCACTATGATCTTTAGCGACACGGTCTGCTGCTGCTCTGTGGTGTAGCGTGCTTTTCTAATTCTACCCTGCATTTGAAATAGTCTAGTGTTTCTGCCACTGATCCGTATCATGCTTTATCATCATCTGTAAAAGGACTATTTCGTCTTTCGGAATTCCAAGGCTCCTTCGCTTCTCAATTACCAACTGATTAAGACCTGTAAAAGAAGGTTATTTCACTTCCTAATGAGATAACTAGTTGAAATAATGCAGAACAGAAGCTGAGAGCCACAGGACCCTTGGATGGCGCTGAAGAATCAGCTTTGCCCATGGCTGATATACAGTATATGCTAAATTCAGTGTTTTTAACATGGGCAGACTGGTTTTTATACACTGTTGCTTCCCTTTGTAACTCAGAGGAAGAGAAAAGGGCCTCACCTTGCTTTCCTTCAGACGATCCTCCTCCTTTATTGCAGGGATTATTTTCAATGTTATTGACCCCTGAGACTGGGACTGAAAGAGAGAGAAATCTTTGAAGGGATTTGGCAAGCAATCCATTTCAACACAAGAAATTGGATAGAACCTCAGTTTAATAGAAGCCTGTGACTCCACAAAATTCAGCTGTCACGTATACTGGCACTGAATGAATAAAAATAAATCAATCCTTTGAATTATTTTGGACCCTGACTGTATCATAGGAGGAATGTATCCTCCTATGAGAAATCTATCAAAATCCATCCCTCAAAAAGTAAAAGATTTGACAGATAATTTGACAGATAATGTTCAGAATGAGCCAATTTAAAACCCAAGAATTACTTATAATAAGTGAATATTTTATTTATGGCTTCCACGTCTATATTTTGTCTATGTTTCTAAGTAGAAGGAGAAGAACTGGAAGCAGATGTAGAAGAGAACAAAAAGAATTAGAATAGGGGAGGAACACAAGCAAATTAGGAGCAAATTCAGCCTTGGGATGAAATGCTTTGAAAATCCAGAACTACAAAACAGCAAACTACAGATTCTGTTTTTGTTTGGGTATCAAAAACTACAGTGATCTACAGTAAGATTAAAAAATATCTATTTTCCATGCATTTCATGTTATTCTGATTGTGTTTAGACTTTTTATAAGATAATTTTAACTTAGGGATACTGGAAGATGATGTTGTTGAATGTTGTTTTACATTATGGTATTGTATTGTAGTAGTATTGTATTATTTTCATATATGTTATATGTTTATGAGCTTTTTGAAGTGCAAGACATCCATTTATTCCCTTAGGGGCAATAAAGGTTAATTTAATTCAATTAATTCAATTCAATTATCCTGTTGTATTTGTTGACAAAATACATTTTTGAATCTCCAAGCAGACTCCCCTCCATCATAATAGCATGTTAATTGCCTTATTCTTATATACGGTAAGATAAAGAATTTTAACTACAATGAAAGTCTGCTGCTTGATTAGTAATGGTAGAAATGTCAGAGTAGGTAAAATGTTTAACTTAATCTAAATTTGACACAGGTTTTAGTAAAACAAACACAAAAGCAGGACTGATTTTTATAATATCTTGAGTTCCGAAACAGCTGTGACACGAATGTACAAGAGCAGTCCAAGAAGTTTTCCTGATACCATTTAAACAATTAATTTAGCAATTAATGAGGTCCTAGAAATATAGGTGACTTTTTGCTTGATTTGTTCCCATTATCAGGTGTTTTATTCTATCCTACAATTTTCCTTTCAATTTCAGCTCATCTCATTCTCTATTTCGAACTCTTTAAAGAGTCAACAAGCCTACAGCTTGTGGTTGCTTTAAAGCAGACTAGCCTGTTTCAGCACAATCATGTTTAACATCACATGCATCCCATTCTAGATCCAATCCAATATACTGGAGCACAGGAAAACAAAAGGAAAAAGCAAAACGGAATTCCAGCTCCCATACCAAAATCTGACTGATTTCATCTGGCCTTTTGTGGATAATAGAAATTCCATTGACCTCTCTCAGCTCATCCCCGACGTGCACGAGACCTGGAAACACAAAACAAATGCAAAAGATTTCATTTCACACTCTTCCCCAGAGACAAAAGCTGCACCTCTGTCCTCATGGAGGGTACGGCAGGTGAATTCTGTGATGGCAAGTCATGTTGTGCTACAACAGAAAGGACGACAGGGGAGCCTGATGCAAGTATTCAAAATCTCAACAAGACTCTGACAAAAGTCAAGCAGGCAGGTTTCTTCAGAATGTACATGAGGACACAAGTGGATAATATGTGCAATTGCATTTCAAACCAAGAATAGAAGGCCTTTCTTTGCCCAAATGGTTGTGAGAGTTACCCAGCCATGTTGAAGGTATTAACCTGGCATCTTTCAAGAAATGGCTGGCTGAGATCCTTGAATTAATTAGCTACTAACTACCACATGCTAAAAGAGCCAAATGGTCTAGTTGTAACCCGACACAGCAATGAATATTAGGACCCCACCTAGTCTAGAAATCTCCAAGCACAGTGAAAGGAGCTGAGGATGTTCAAGGCTGTGTCAGCAACTTTGCTCAATAGATGCTGGTTTATTGTCTGTCCCCCAAACTAGGAACCATTGGAGATTACAACTTGTTTTGCCATAATGCTCCACAACTTTGAAATGCTCTTCTTAATAAATGCTGTAGAAGATTCCGAGTCTTTATAGGTTTTTAAACTCATTAAAGTTGCTTTTTATTTCTTTTGATATAGCTTGTCATGTCTTTCTATGTTTGTATTACTGCCTGTGTAGTGCCGTTTCTTAAGTCTTTGTAATTTGTAAAGCTTTGAGATGTCTTGGCATACAGAATAATGAACTATAGAAAATTACATCTCGGCAAAGGGTGAAAAAGCAGAGTCAAGTTTAAGGGCATGTATAATGAATATTGATAAATATATTTTATACGAGTATTTTTTTTCCCATTTACTGCTGAAACGCATTGTCCACTCGCAGTCTCTGGTCCCAAACACTTAGTATAACTAAAGATCCTTCACACTCCTTCCAGTACCGGAGCGCATAGAATCACCATGGTTACCACACTCTGCTCAACATCCACATTTTAATCGTCAGGTCATGTGACAGAGGCTGAATGGCAGAAAATCTTTTCTCTTCACAGTGGGGGGTTTGTTGCAGTATTAGCATCCAATTGCATCCTGTGATATTTTACTCAGTGTACCTACAGTATTTATAAGTACATTATATTCTGTTCTTAATTCTGTTCCATTAATACTTGAAAAACCTTTTCACTAGAGTCATTTGTTTGAACGGTAAATCTAAACACGAAAAATTAGTCTGAACAATAAATAATGATATAGAATAAATGAGATCATCCTCTAGGATTTGGATCACAGAGAATGTCAGAAGAATGCAAAAAATAAATGTAAAAAACATCGTAATTTCACATTTGTGGCATGGATGCATTTTGCTTATTTTTAATTTTCTTTTCGTTTGGGGTTCTTGAGCTTCTGTCATCTTTTCTCTCACCCATCTTGCATATCTACTCTAAGATCTACAGTGGACATGAAGCACCATCAGGCCCACAGAGCACAACACTGGCACATGGCAGTATAGTGTGGTCTATTTATGGTATCGTTGGTCAGGGAGGTGGATTATGAGTGACTCAGCGCAATCAGTTTTCTTGGTTTGATAAGCAAAGTGATGCTGAGTCAACACCAACTTCTGATATTGGACCTTCAGTCTGTGTTCTGCTGGTCCGACACGGCTGTGCAACCTGGGGATTCTTTCCTATGCCTTGGAGAGCAGTTTAGATTTTCAAATCAGCAGAACAAAGCCCTGGGTTTGTGAGACCAGCAGAGGAGACAATGGGTAGTGATGACCTTTTCAGCCACCCAGGAGGACTGAGCCACACCGGAGAGAAAGAGTCGCGTTTGGGGACACCCACCACTCCGGTCCGCAGCTCCACCCCGCATGATCCTGGCCACCACCACAGCGCCTGTGTTCTCATCCCGCCGGATCGTCGCTCCCTGAAACACATCGGAGTCTTACATGGGCTCTGCACTGTGGGTCCTCAGGGACACTCCAGGGATATGTGTATCGTGGCTCTGAGGTCTGAACTATTAACTCATATCTGATGTTAAGAAAGAGCATGGAGCTGAGCAAATTGCAGAAAGGATGGATGTGCACATGGATGGATGGCTATCAATACTCATTCCCACAATTCATGGCACCCGCATGCTCTTGTTTTCAATGGTCTGTGTGATTGTTTGAGAGAATGTTCATTTAATTCTGTCGGGGCCCTGTTCCAAATTAGATTGGATTACTACATAGCTAAACAAGAACTCATCTATCAGCCTGTGGTCTTGATTAATCTGATAGGCTTTTCCACTGAAATGCATACTTATGCCTATTTTTACTGGTCAGGGTTAGCAATGTCAGACTGATGAGCCCTAATTAGTGACAAACAACTGTGCCCAGCTGCTACATTTAACTTTATAAATGGAAGAGACACAATTTCTTTAGATGGTTCTGCAATCCTGTTACGAAATGGAAAGCCTAATTAACATTCATTCCCATAATAGGTAGAATAATAGTCAAATCTATGTGGACTCACAAATACTGTACATATGATTTAGTACTTTCAACACCAGTTTCAAGCAAAATGAATATTTGCATTTTCAGCCATGTACAATTTTTACTCATATCGCAAAACTGTTTGTAAGATTTGAAATTTCAACACACCAACTCAGTCTCAACATTTTTATCCCTATAACACAGCCCTTAGGCCTGAAAGGCAGCAGTGATGTCTTAAAAAGAGAGAGCTCTCTTTTTTTGGAGGTACCTCACTTTAAAAAAAAGCAAAGCCGTGCCACCTCCATTAACTAATTACTGCAGGAAAGAGACAGGGCAGCTTTTTGAAAAAAACTGCTTGAGAAAGTGTTTCCAGCTCCACAGAGCTGGAAACTTGGCAGTGGTAATGTCTGCCTTGGCACAGGCCACAGTCTGATAGATGAGTTCTTATTTAGCATTGTAGAAATCCATTCTAATTTGGAACAGTGCCCTGACATAATTAAAAGAATATTCTCTGAAACATTCAAACAGCCCACTAAAAACAAAAATATTTTGTACAAAACAGGCAGTTTTAATCACACCCTTCCTCTTTCTCTGGTGGTAATGTCAGATGTCATGTACATTGCATATATGGAGAGGGGGCAATCTGACTCATGTCACGATCAGAGGCACGTGGCAAGAGATCCTGGCATTTCTCAAGCTTATGTGCATATCGCCAGGCAGACCCCGGACCTCCTGGGATCTAGAATCCTCCATGGGCACCACTCACCAGGGGCTCCTTGTTCTTGACCAACCGGACGATCTTCACAGACTCCTCTTCCAGCTCATCCTCAAAGTCATCTGGCAGTGGGGGCAGGACGGGGTCGAAATTCTTCTGCGCCACTGTGTCGTGGACCACCAGAACAGCCTGCCAGGGAGACCAACAGGGACGACTTGTACGGAAAAAGATGAGCAAAAGAAAACTGCCACCCTACATGGCCGTCTAATTGTATAGTGCACACCAAAAGAGTGTACACATATACAGTACACACGCACACTTACAAAGCTGCATCCCACATCACAATCATATCGCACATTCCCTTTTTTTATGTGGGCCATTTTCATTCCTGCTTTCCTGTTAGTTTTATGTTTAGTTATTATTGTAGTTGTTATCATTATTTTAAGCAATGTATATTGAATTTAACCACAGAGTTTCCCTTTATTTACATCCTGTTCAGTCTTATATTGTCCTGTTAGTCCTGCTCTGCTTTATTCTTCAGTACGTGTCTGACTGACCTAACAGCTAAGTTTTTACTTACCGACCTACATTTTTACATTTTTGTTGAATTTGCATGATGAAAATAAAGTTAAAAAATAGAGCTTGCAAAAAATAAACCATACCAGACAGGATTCACGAGAAAACAAAGACTTCTTACAGAAACACACTCAAAAGTTCTGAATTAATTTGTATGTTCTGTATTAACAGATAGCCAGTCACATTTCTGAAATACTGAATGTCTCCTTAGTGAAGTTCTATTTATGTAGGTTAATTGATTTAATTCGTAGATGGGGGCAGAAACACTGATTTGTGTTTTTGTAATGTTTTGTCTTAAACATTAAAACTAGAAATGAAGGGAGACCTTGCTTGTTAAATCAGCAGGACTAGACTTGCTTTTCGATGAGTAGTTCGAATAGTAAGGAAGCCAGACCAGTCAGAGAAGGAGTGAAGGAGCACGAGTGTGCCACAGGGACAGTACCTTGAGGTGGGGAGCTGTCAGTAACTGTAGCAGCTCCTTCTCTTCACTGCTCATCGGCCCACTCTGGAGCTCCTCAGCCACCTATAAGTGAACAGAACAAACTCCTCATTTTAAAGACTTCATGCCCCTTTTCTGACATCCACAGGTACTCTAATATATGAGCTTGATGGCACTATTTAGAGCTGAAGCCAGGTGAGGGAGATTCCCAGCTCAAGCTGTGTCTCACCCCGATACTCACCCTGATGTTCTGCCTTGGGCATGTTATTGAACGGTTTGCTCCATCCATGAGAATGTTATTGATTTTACTCATCCCACTCTTTGGCAGAGTTTCTGCTCCTAAGTGAATACAATTATTTATACATATATAATGAAGGAGCTGGACATCTCCAGTTTTAAATAGAGAATACTGCATGGGGACCTCAAACCTGTCATCAAAAGCCATTGTCAACCTGGTAGATTTGGAACCAGAGTGTAAAGTACATGAAAGTGCATTTACTGTACTACAAAACTGAAAACAGGAGGCACTTCTCCACACAAAGAGTTATGGGAGAGTGGAACAGGCTACCCAACCTTCAAGTTGTCGAAGCTGAGGCCCTGGCTTCTTTCAAGAAAAGGCTGGTTGGAATAATAGGATCAATTAACTATCTACTGGGCAAGATGGTCCAAATGGCCTCCTCTTGTTTGTCCCCATTCTTATAAAGATGAAATTATAAGCTCTCAGCCAGTGCACCTTTTTGTGTCCATTGTCAGGTTAAGCAGATGAATTAATACTCAGTTTAGAAAAGAAATGGCAGGATAACAAATTGAGATGAGGGAAATTTCTTCTGAGTCATCCCTTCTCTACATGCATTAAAATCCATTATCTCTCTTGTCCAACAAAGCACTTTATCCCTCAATCTAATTTACTGCCTGTCTTTGTTACGGGTGTATTCTCAGAATCATCATCTCCTCTCTGAAAATGGACACTGGCTTTGTTTCCATGCAGTACAGCTCCACATGACAGTAACATCTACAAGAAAAGTGCAATCAGTAGCTTAACAGAGGTGTAGCATTCCCGTTGTGTTTTCTTTCTGAAAAGAAGGCTGAAGGTGTGAGCACCTGAAGAAGGCTCCATCGCTGTAAATATTGTGTCTCTTTTCCTTTCAGCGTGGAATAAGCCTTTACCTGTTCCTTTGCAGCCCACGCGTGCTGACGCAGCTCCCTAGTTGAATTGTACTTCTATATTTCTTGCCTTCTGGACTTGTCTTCGCACATTTTTCTCGCACCCCTCCTGCCTGCTTTACAATCAAGCTGCCATTCCCCCAGCTAGGAGAGTCACATCAAATAGCTTCTAAAACATTCTTCCCTCTGCCGCTCTCATGAGGATCAAACCGAACCACGGAGATCAGCGTGACACTTACGACGAGCGCAGCTCTGCTCCGCCCACCCAGGGCCCAGCCACAGTCCAGAGGGCCCAGAGGCACACAAAGCTACTCTAGAACACGCTGAGAATTCTGATGAGCTCTGGAGTCCGACACTGTCTAGATTTCAAAAGAGGGTGACGTCACTTCTGTAACTGGCTTGGCGCGCTGAGCCCTGTGACATACTGTATACAGTACACCTGTATCTGCAGGGTACTGTCCTGTCCTGTACAAGCAGCAATTTATTCTTACCTCACAGATTCATGAACACTGCCATGGCCACATAAATCAATTGACAATATGAAGCAGCTATAATGGTGACAATAATATGAATGGGAGCTATAACTGCCATATGGAATCAAGGGTGTAAAACCGTATCTGCCCTGGATAGAGGCTGCACAAAGGAAAAATACATTTAAGTTATTAAATATAGAAAGAGAGAGAAAGAAATACATGCACAACTTTCTACTTCTGTGTTTTCATTTATTTGTATGCAGTAGCTATCTTGTTTTCAGCTGCTGTAAGAATAATGCTTATTTCATTCACTGAGTCACTCAGGCCTCTGAGAATTGTTTTCTGATTCATGGCTCACTGACATTATTTGAAATACGGGTTACTTTTTCACAACATGAGTGTTGAGATGTGCTGTCTTATGACTAATAGACCTAATTATTTATACCACCAACCTGATATACCTGCAGCACCACGGCTATCACGGTCCAATATACCAGCGTAAACGTTTGTTATAAATCATGTACGGGCATTATTACTCATTTCATTGCAGAACTTCCAGACACACCTTCAAAGGTTTCTGTGTAAAACCTGAAAATAAATCTTAAATAATATTGGAGCTAGAAGTATGACTTGCTACAGAGATGCAGCTATTCAGTTCTGACTTTCTGAATAATCTTTCTGATTACGAAACCCGGATTCTACCCATCTTCCTATCAAGAGGTCTGTTGAGATGTTTCTGTTATCTAACCTTATGAAATACCAGATCTCATTAATATTCACATGCCATTATATCTCAGCGCCTGCTGCCTCTTAACACCATGATCCAGAAAAGTGTTTCATGCTTTCTGGTTTCCTCTTTCTGGCAGGGGGTGGACAATTTTGCCATAAAAAAAAATCAGTTGAAAGCTTGCAAGTTTTTCCTTCTTACCTATTTTTCAGCTCTCAAAGTATGGTAAAAATACAGATAACATTTTTTTTTAAGTTAGGATTCCCGTTAAAGACCTTATTTATGGAAGCACTCCAGGAAAATGAGAGACAGTTATGTCGTGCTGATTAGTTCTAATAAGACAAAGCAGCTGTCTGAGGCTGCTAAGCCTGACTTTATACACAGGACACTAATCAGAATGTCATGTCTCGTTAGATGGTTGTGCTTTCTTGGTTCTCTTTAAATGGTTCTGTAAGCTAATTAACATTCACATTCCTATAATCTCTTTTAAAGAAAGCACAAGAAGAAAGAAAGGAGAATTTAAATGAATGGCTTAATTTATTGTGTTAACAGCTTAGGTAAGTACAAGTCAGACTTGCTTTATCCTTTCTAGAATAACAGCTGACATGTGATTTACTTTATGCTATAAAGAAGAAAAAATAAGTAAAGGACAAGTAAGGCAAGTGGAAATACGGTAGAGAGCAATTTCATGAAAACAAAAAATACCAACACAGGCACTATTGTATAAGCTGGAAACTCATACAGCAGTGGTATAGCTTAGTGCAGTATTTGTTGTGCCACTCGGTAATGCAAGAAAAAAATCCATATTCTTTTTTTAAAAAATGTGGTTCCTGAAACAGCCATGAGCTGAGCTCCATTGTTGAGATACTTACATCCTCAGCCAGGGATGAGGCGCTGTGAAGGATGGGAGTTGGGCTCTGACGCTCATACTGGCGAAGCTTCTCGTGAATCTGGAACACAGGGACAACAGTAAGGGTGGCTTTCAGAAGACCATGACATTAACTCATCCTGGTCTGACACAGAGGACACAGGAGGGATGGCTGGGGTTCTTCTCAAACTACCACAGCTTGGGCCTGAAAAAATAAGAGCTTAAGCCTTTCAATTAAAGTGCAATTCACACCAAAGTTTGAAGCATGTTCCACGCACAGGCAACTTGAACAAGAAGAGCCTGTCTTAGACACCTTCTGATGTTACAGTACAGTGCCTGGCCAACAGTCAGACCTTTGCACACTTTTCATATTGCATTGCTTTAAAGCTTGTAGTCATGATTGTTTGAAGTATAAATTAAAATGTGTTATATACTGTACATCACCTGTTCCACACATTAAAAGCAAAAAAACAACATAAAAAAAGAGAAAGCAGTAAATAGATAATTATTTTGAAAGAAAAATGGAAATGTATAAATTGGATAAGTGTTCCAAACTTTGCTGTGTCAAATCTAAAGTGATTTTGATACACAAGATTAAATCAATGAGCCACACAATGTATTTGTTAAAACCCAAGGTAAACTAAACATAAACAGCTAGTACACTGTACATTTAACATTCTCTAATCAAATTATTGTGAGGGGTTGCTCATCAAAATGTGTTCTTCTCAGCACCTTCATAATGCTAAACAGTCAGTTACTGCACCACAGAAGACATATCCATCTGTAGTAATCTGCCACAGAAGTAATGTTTCTACCAGAAATAAGAAACACAGAGGGAAAAGAGCAGAACACACCATGTATGTGCAGAAATGACAGCCTTAAAGATGCAAAAGCAGCTGCAATAAAACACCACGCACCAAGCAGAGCAGGGACAAGCATATTCACGACTGCTGGCCTGCTTCTGAGCCCCACACAGGTGCTCATACCGATGTCCATGAAAAAGACAGACACTTATCCCAGAGGGTTGTCCCTGTTGTTTACGATATCGATGCGCGGTGGGGCCGAGTGCAGACATGTCTCCAACTGTAGAGTGGCCAGACTTTGGCTCTGGAGTCTTTCAGTCCCCACTCACCTTCATCAGGTAGCCCAGGCTCTTCTCGCTGAAGACATCTCTGAGGAAGACCATGTCTTCTGTGTGGTTGGCATCTGGACGGAGCTGGGAGGTGAGCAGGGCCAGCGTCTCATGCAATCCTGCACAGAAGAGCACCCCCTGCTGGTCATACCACTTGACTCCTCGCCTGAGAGGCACTGCTGTGAGACTGCCTGGTAAAGGCGCTCTGTGGCATTACTTCACTTTGTATCTTTTCTTTAATTCGTCACAATAAAATGATGCGTAGTGGAGGGTTAAAATATAAATTTATCTAATCGAAAACTACAAATTTAATGACTGGCTCTCTGTATGCTCTGCCTGCATCTAAACTGTTACTGATATTGTGTGAGGATCTTAAGATACGTAAAATAACACACCTACATGGAAAAACCAACATACATGCCAGGTGTACAGAACTGTACTAACCTCACAAAAGGTTTTGCATATCAGCGTTGCTCTCATACAGTGAGGTCAATCTTTTGTCTGCTAAAGAGCAGCCTAATTGAAGGAGGAGGAGCACTCGTCTGCACGGTTTCTAAACTTACCTGTGCCCGCGGTTAGGACAGGCATGGCTTCTTTCATCGACTGGCCGAGGAGCTGTGTTCGGCAAACGGGACGAGCGCCCTGCACGGCTGACGGCTCCCGAAGCGGCGGCCCTGCGCAAAGGACACGCGTAGTAAAAGTTTCTGCTGCATATTTCAGTCTCGGGTTAGTGTGCGAAAAAAAATCATCCTGGTTTTGCTTCAGCTGCTATTAGCGTTGCGTTAATGTACAGTGCCTGCAGTTATCCTGCACTAAAATCATAATCAGCGTGCTGTAACTCGTCTGGAATGGGGATGATTTACTGCACTCATTTAAAAGCTATGCTCAAGGTAAACCTGCACTGGCTTCCCACATATCCCGGTATCCTGTGTTTCAGGTGGTGGAATTTCCTGATCTGTAATTCATCTTAATGATCTACACCCTACTTTTCCTGGCCACCAATGAAAGCAATGAAGGCATGTACAGTACCAATTCCATATTGTTTTATATATTTTTGTTTCTCTCCAAACTCAGCGTTTCTTTACAAAACCACTTCAAATTCCTGTTCTGCTGTGATTGATTGCTTTCCCTGAATGATTGCTTTCGGCGATTTACTCCCTATGAAATTATATACATATCTAGTACCACTCTTCCGTCTCAGTGTTACTGTCTTATTTTTTTCCATTAAAGATCGATAGTTTTAAGTAAAAATAACTATACGATATGATAGTATTGAAAACGCCCACGTGGGGCGCTCTAACCATGCGAACGCAAGGCAGGCTGGGAACGGCAGCTGAGGGGCGGGACTACCCGCCGGTATATTAAGGGACAAGGGCTGGAGACACCATCAGCGTCTGTAGTAAATGTCCTGTCAACCCGTGCCAGAGCCTCCGGCCTGTTTCGTTACAGGTTTATTGTGTCAAAACCACCAGCTACTAATCCAGGTGCAAGTTTGTGCAGCTTTCTTTATCCCAACAAATACTGCTTTGTGTTTCTGGTCCACTTCAGCACTTCAGATCTTTGCTCTGGGGTGTGTGATGGTTCACAGAGACCAGACTCTCCTGTGCACCGTATGAACAAGTCTCCCTTACGCTCAGACTCTAGATGTGCCACAGCTTCTGCAGATTCCCTGATTCCCGCACAGCAGAAATCTCCACCCTCCTCAGTGCAGCAAAACACATCACACTTTTCTTGAAAATACAAAAAACAGAGTAAGCCAGCTGTTCAGTACAATGATTGATGAGGATGAAGAGCTTCAGTGTTGTTTATAAAACTGGTACACTGCGCAGACCACTGATTCAGCACCATGGCCTTCTGCTTACTGCAACACATGCAGTATTCTCCCCGCTCTATTTTTAGTGAAGGACCCTTTTAAGGTTTTAAATGAGATGCAAAAGTAACAACACAGTCTGTGTTATGCCACATTAAGGAAAGAAGAGTACTCTGATGTATCTCTGATGAAGAAGAAATACAATTCCTGATACAAGGAGCAGCTGAATTGCTACTTTCATCTCTTGAAAAGTTTTTGTCAGCTGCTGTTGGCTGAGTGCTCATGTATCTCCACAGACATCTGTGAGCCTGTATGATCTGAGTTATCAGCTGTAATCACTGGTGGGGGATGGCTGAGTATGGATATTCTCTAATTATTTGGAGGGGTAGTGCAAATAAAAGCAAAAATGTATCACTTCAGGAACACAAATATTGTATACATTTTGTCCAACTTGAAACTGAACAGTACAGGTACTGTATATAACCAATATAAAATAGCCACATAACCAACTAATACTACTATTGTAGAAAATGATATACTGTATACTTGAGTTATCACAGTATACATTAAGTAGTAACCAGACAGTGTATTCCACCCACAGAAGAGCTCAACTTCAGATTCCCAGATATCAGACCTTTGACTCCATTGCAATTTGCTGCCACCACTTGCTTAATCCATCAATCTAGGGAAAGATTGAGTCTAATTGTTGATAAGAAATTAAATGTATTCCCCACATCACCTGTATGGACATTAGTATGCCAAGACTCTTGCCTTCCTACACCCCTCTCACCCCTTAGCATGAGGGGAACAGCTCTCTCCACACTCCACCGAGCAAACTCAGCTACTTGCGTCATCTCCGTGGACCAGATGACAAACAGGCAGCATATTTCAGTTTGTCTGATAGTGTCCCCAGGCAGAGCATCAGATTTGGTCTGATGCCAGAAAAGCTGCACAGAAGCGTACAGCAGCACTCCAAGAGGATTGCCAGAGCCTTCCCCCTTTCAGCCTTTGATACAATTTGAGTAGCAATAAATCTATGCCATTTTGCTCCCTGAATGGGGAAGAAAGCTGTCCTACATTCTGGAAAAATCTCAATCGCAAACATCTACAGCTGCACAGGAATACATGCAAATACATAACTTGTATCAATCAACCGATTGTGCTGAGCAGAATGAAATGTAAATTTTACAGAATAAATTCTAACACTTAAAAGCAAAATGGTGATGAAGAGCTAACTTCATTATGCAGTCATAACTTGTGTGGTTGGTTTAATCTGCTTTCGCATGTACTCATCCGAGCACCAGAGGCAAAGAGTTGGATCAAACCTGCTGGAATGAAAGACTGGTAATTTGACACAGAGGGTTTACAGACTTGTGACAGACTAGAGCAGTGAGTGACAGCACCTCAGCAGATACTGTACAACATCAGTCCACATACTCATGTTTTTACAACTCTGAACTAAATCTACAACGAGAGCTCCAGAGGAGAAACCTTTTATAGAATTCATTCAGAATTACCAAAGGTTCCCTAGATGATATAATGAAAAATGTATGCACAGAAAAGCCTGTCCTGTATTTCAACATACAACAAATCACTGCAAGACAATGTTTGTGTTAGCAATGCAATTTGTAATTGTAATTTGTAACTTGTAACTCAAATATCTTGATTCAAGTGCAATTGTCATTACCTTAAATTGTATTTAAAATGCCATTAGATCACTTCAGTTGATCAAAAGCTTTAGTGCTTACTTCATTGTGAATGTCAGTTCACAACACCTGACTGGGTTCTATACATCTACATGGTTAGTATTGCTGTCTAACCATGTACATGTAGCATGCATCATGCAGTTTCTATGGTCTGTCCCTGTTCACATGTGTTTCCTCCTGAAGCTCCGGTTTCCTCCACAATCCTGGGACATGCTGGTAGGTTATGTGGCTTCTGAAAAAATTGGCCCTGGCATGAATGGGTCTGTGTCTGTGTGTGCCCTGGAATGGACTGATGTCCCATCCAGGCTGTGTCCCTCTCTGTGCCCATAGCTTGTCAAGTTAGTCTCTGACTCCCTCATGTATGAAGCAGGTTTGAAAACGGATGGATGGATGGATTCCTTTAGAATAGGTCCCAGGAGCTCTGAAGACTGGTTTCTTCCACAGCTCAGAGAAAGGACCACATGTCCTAACAGGAACATTCACACCTCTTACACCACACTCCCTCACCACTCTCAGTATAAAAATGGGAAATGAGGGGAAAGACTCAATTATAATAAAATATTCTAGATGTTATCCTGTGGGGAAAAGCTACATTAGCATCTCTTTTGTGAATAGTGATTTATGCCTGCAATCCTTTTACTTGGAGCGTAGAGATGATTAATATGCTTCTGTTGGTGTAGCTGAAAAAATCTTGTCAACACGCTGATAGTCAATCAAGATGAAAAGCAAAAATAAAACAGGCACTAACTGGATGTGATTTACTCAATACAGAGATTGTATTATACTTATTCTGCCTGTCCTGATTAACCGTTACCAACACGAGCATACTTATTAAACCTGTAGTATTGTATTAATTATATGTGGCATCATAATAAAGAATAGCTGTATGCTGGTCTCAGGGATTTTTGGGTAACATCCATCCTTTTCAAACCAGCAACTCTATCACCCTGCAACTCAGAACAGGCAGCCCACTGAAGCTCAGCAGGTGTGAGTCTGGTCAGTACCTGGATGGGAGACCTCCTGGGAAAGCTAAGGCTGCTGCTTGAAGAGGTGTTAGTAGGACCAGTAGGGGGTGCTCACCCTGCAGTCTTTGGGTCTAATGCCCCAACATAGTGATGGGGACATTATACTATAAAAAGGTGCCATCCTTCAGATTAAATAAACTGAGGCCCTGAGGGTGTGGTCAAGAAATGTGGGTGTTTCTTCACCAATCATACCCACTTAATAATAACCAATTATGAATTGGCTACATCAGTCTGTTCTCCTCCCGACTAATAGCTGATGTGTGGTGAATGCATTTTAGATATCGTCTCATCATCCTGGTGAACATTGCACATAGGTGGTGGTGGTGGAGGGGAGTCACCATTACCTGTAAAGTGCTTTGAGTGCAGTGTCCAGAAAAGCGCTATATACTGTAAGCATAAGTTATTATTAACTACTTCATCCAATACAGTGTAACAGGGGAGAAGTAACCCATTTTTTGGGTAATGTTGTGAGATTTAAATAAAAACACAAGAAATTCATATTTTGCCTTTTCAAAGGAATAATGACAGAGCCCAAAACCTGCTACTAAAGTATCGCCACATTCGCAGGGTGTGCTTTTAACCAACTGTTATTTAGCTCAGCGTAAAGCTCTGTAATTACAATGGGATTAACCTCTCTTGTGATAACGTTGAACTCATGAATAATGCAGAAGGAGAGGTTCTTGCTACAGCTTCAACAGGAAGGAATGTGATCAGAGAATGAGCTCAGTGTTTACAACTTTGTGGCAATTCTGTATCTTGGCACTCACCCGGCCTCACACCTTCACTGTGATTTACTGTAGCATGGTACTGTCTCACAGTGGAGCTTGACAAAAGCACTGGCCTGTACTGTATATTGTGGTGACCTTCGAGGTGGTAAAATTAAATCTACTGCATATTTTTTACCAAGGTGCAGAGATGCACAACTGGCTCTTGAGAATGTACTGTACTAAATGATCTGTGCCTGCACCTATAAGGTAAATCTTACATCAATTTCACATGCAAATTCATTCAGAAAACAACACACAATAATTTGTTTTTCCTCCTTGACAGACCATTATAACATATTAGAAAATCTCAGATACTAAGGTCAGTTTCATCCCATGTAACCACATATACTAGAAACCCTATTCTAA